GAGCAGAAGCATTTGCTTTTTTCCTCCCCCTCAATGTGCAGGGGTTCTTTGCAGCGTCGGCTCGCTGGGCAATGCCGGTGCAGGATTGCGGCGGAGCAGGGCTGGGGGCGGCGCTCCCCCTGGAGGAGGAAGTGGGGGCCTGGGGGAGGGGGCCTGGAGCTAGAGAGGCTGCGGTGGGGGATGAGCCCAGCCACCCGAGGGCCGCCTCGCTTAACCAGTTAGCAACTGCCCTGGCGACAAGGACCCCAGGCTGTCGTTTCACACGGTTCGTTGCTCAACAGCCTCCAAACAGCCAGGCAGGCACGCTACCACCCCAGCTGGCAAGTGGAAGAGGCAGAAACTCCCCAAAGTCAGGCACTGAGAGAATTTTCCAGAAAGAAAAGCCCATCGGACTAAGTGCACTTTTATTTATTTTTAAAATTCACATACCCCGCTGCCTCCACCTCCAGCGTGTTTTTGGAAGGGGGCGGGGGGAGAGGTTTTACGTATCACGAAGGTCTGCATTGCATGGTTCGCTTTGTTTATTTGTTTTTCTTCTGCCTGACACATGATTCTTTAATGTTCCATAGGATGCTATGGATACGGAATATTGCTTTAGGAACAAAAAGTACAGTAAGTGTTAGGATTTGGAACCAATCTGGTTATCTGCCTTGGAGAAGCTTTGAGATGTATATTCTTAGTAAGACTTAAAAAACAGTGTACATCACAGTACAGCCTCTGTCCTTATGAAGTCCAACCATTAGTCAGTGATTTTAATTTTTTAACAGTATTAAAATTATTCACTATCTAAGCAGAGTACCAGATATTTCAGTCCCTTTTATTATTTCTATCATTACCACAAATTGTCACTATTTCTTGGAAATATGACTCAGTCTTAACAATGTGGCCAGGAAACCAATGCAGTAAAATGCATTTTCATTTTACTTATAAACATTTTGTAGTTGACTAATTCCTTCACTGACCAGGGGAAAAATGAACCTTAATGTAGTTGTTGGGTTTTTAAACCAATATCCACTGCTGAGTGGAAGTAACTTACAAGATCAGGAACAAAGTCCCAATACCTTCGGAGCAACATTATGTATTTTCTGAAGTGACATTGATTTCCCACTGTGGGAAGAGGCAGGATATAACATTTGGAGAAAGGAATGGAGATCTTTGACATCTGTTCATGTCTAGGCCAACAAGATGCTATGGCCTTCCTCCTGCAAAGGATCCTGAAGTATGTCATCCCCCCAAATAAGTGTCTCTTTATGTGATAATGTGTTCAGAACACAGAAACCAGCCCAAGTTATACACGTGCCCCACACTGAACATCATTCGGAAAACAAACTCTCCAGGTGTTAGCTCCTCAGCGGTGAGTGTCATCTCCAGCCTTTAACTGTATGCCTCACTGGATACCCTCAATGTTTATCGCAAGACTTTGGCTTTTTTAGAGCACTCAGCATAAACGTGTGATTCATATGTCAACCACGTGACCTGACTTCAAGGTGATCTGCTTTGGAAGAGTTTCCAATCTGTACTAATCTGTACTAATAAAAGGGTAATATGCTAATTAGACCAGGTCAACCAGCCATCTTCTGGACGTCTGACTTCCTTCCGGACAAAGCTATGGTGGTGGGGACCAAGGCAGAGGCAGTTAGGGGCAAGATCAGGCCTGCAGGGGAGGGCCATTGGGGTCGACCAGGCTTACTGGGGAGGGCCATTGGGGTTGACCAGGCCTGCAGGGGAGGGCCGTTGGGGGTGACCAGGCCTGCAGGGGAGAGCTGTTGGGGGTGACCAGGCCGGCAGGGGAGGGCAGTTGGGGGCATTAGGCAGGCAGGGGAGGGCTGTTGGGGATGACCAGGCTGGCAGGGGAGGGCAGTTGGGGGCATTAGGCAGGCAGGCAGGTGAATGGTTAGGAGCCAGTGGTCCTGGATTGGGTGAAGTATGTCTGACTGCTGGCAGTCGGTCATCCCCCCAAGGAGTCCCAGATTGGAGAGGGTGCAGGCCGGGCTGAGGGACACCCCCCCTCCATGCACGAATTTTGTGCACCGGGCCTCTAGTATAAAGAAAAGGGCCTCAGACATCTGTGTGGTGGTTACCAGAGAGAAGGTTGGAGGGTAGTAAAGGGTAAAGGGGACCAAATATATGGTGATGGAAGGAGTCTTGACTCTGGGTGGTGTGCACACAATGCAATACATAGATCATGTATCATAGAAATGTACATGTGGAACCTATGTAATCTTATTAACCAATGTCACCCCAATACATTTAATTAAAAAAACATAAAAAATAGAATGAGAAAAGTTCAAATCCATAGAAAAAAAGCAAAGGGCATCCATTTTAAGCAAGGGGAGTTCTGAGTTAATTTAGGAAAGCACTTCAACTGCTTTTAAGGGGGAACTTGGTCACAGTTGCTGCAAAAGAATAATAAAGATAAGTTTCAAATGTGAAAAGTGAAGTGTGACAAAAGCTTGTATAGTCCAGATCAACCACCAAACACTTTACATAGAAAGTCATAACATTAAAACAAAAAGAGAAAGAGAAAGAAGGAAGGGAGGGAGGGGGGACTGGAAAATGATTTATGTTCTTTTTCTTATGAAAAGTGCCCGATAGATATTTTATTTTCAGTTTTGTCAATGTAGACCAAAATCTTATCTTAAATACCATCTGCTATGTCATCTCCAGGGCTGAAAATAGTGCGAGGAAACACATTTGCATTATCTCCTTTAGAACACTTGCCTCATTTAAGGCAAAATGTCTCTCGATTAACAGTTTGAAGTGATAAGGAAATTTAATTAAAAAGTAAATATATTCAGCATATCAAATGATACAGTTCTGAGACGAAGTGCATTATTTTAGATCAATCCTTATAGAACACTGAATTCTTCTACAAGGAGGGCAGTGACTTGTTAGAAAAGACCAGTTGTCTGCGGGCCGTGCGGGAGGGATGTGTCCTACCCGTTCGTCCTTCCCCCGATGATGGCGGGCGCCTTGTTCTAGAAAGATGACCGCAGATCTCTTCTTTACAGGCCACATATGCACTAATGCTCCCCAAATAAAATCCTATAATCTCGTTTTTTAAAACTTTTGCCTTGCCCTCTGAGTTAACATTTGTCATTTTTCCTTTCTTTTAAAAAAATTTAAATATTTTATCAGCACAGCTATTTTCCTCGGCAATTTATGATAAGAAGGCTACTCAAATGTGTTCCTTTCTCAGGCTTAATTAAATCTGAGTTCATTCCATTGCCTTCATTTGGTAGCCTGCATTTTATTCTTTTTCTTTTTCTTTTTTTGTATATAAAAACGAGTTTAAATTTGTCTTTTAAACTCTGCTCCCATATTATAACTGCAGCTGTTGCGTAAGCCTTGAGAGCCATGGATCCAACAAGAGCTGAGCTGGGGATGGCGCTCTTTCAGTTCTGTGATGACAGACCTCGCAACCCCTCTTTCCTCAGAGGGCCTTGGACTTGGGGGATTCATATTTCACTCCCATAAGCACATCACAGAATGACTTTCCGTGTTGGACTATCAACCCGCTCTCATTTGCGGCTTAAGTGCCCAAAGTAAATGTGTCTGAATAACTGAAGACTAGGCAAAACGAGGCATTTTATTTATTTATTTATTTATTTATTTATTTATTTATTTATTTATTTATTATATTTTTGTTGATCTCAGAGAGGAAGGGAGATGGAGAGAGAGATAGAAACATCAATGATGAGAGAGAATCATTGACCGGCTGCCTCCTGCACACTCTACACTCAAGATGGAGCACCCAACCCAGGCATGTGCCCTGACCCGGAATTGAACCATGGCCTTCTGGTTCATAGGTCGATGCTCAATCACTGAGCCATGCCGGTGGGGCAAAGCAGAATCTAATTTTAATATAAAATTGAACTGAAGGGCCCTTTCCACTGACTTTTAAAAGGTGGCTCCATGCTGCGGGTGCTGCTCACCCAGCAGAGGGCAGCGCTGGGGGCGGCAGAGGGATGTCTGTGGAGTGACTGGGATGCCAGGGATTCTCTGAGCTCCGGGCAGTGGGACTCACACCACACTCGGGGAGCAGTGGGGTGTGTGTGAGCGCCATGCTCTGCGCTCCAGTTCTGCACGCAGAGTTCTTCTCCTTTCACTGCTCCACCGGTCACTCCCCAGCGCCCACTCATTTGTCACTGCCGAGGGCCAGGGCCACTTGAGCCAGGCCTTGGAGCCGCCTGAGTAGGCCGGCAGTGATGGAGAGCAGCTGCCAGCCCAGGTGCTGAGCACGCAGTTTCTGAGGGTCCCCTTCCCCAGGGACTCGCCTGTCCAGGAAGAGTGGGCTTGCTAAGGGAGACTGACAGTGTGAGGCGGGTCCCTTGGTTACACCGCGCTGGCCAGGCAGCAGTGGGCCGAAAGAGGGGGAGATGCGAGGGCACAGAGGGCAGAAGTCTTTTGAGAAAAGTCTGTTTCTGATGTGGGTTTTGTAGGTGTCCTTAGGCTACAAGGCATCTTGGAATGACATGTGATGTGTTTGTCTCCAGCATCATAAGAATGGACCGTTCTGCCCATTACGTTGGGATTTTATTATGAACCTTATCCATGT